TTATCTCTTCTCTCAAAAATAAGGTTTAAGTAAGACTGAGTTTGCTATAACACATTGACGAGCCAATAAAAAAACCATTTTGTGTACAAATCATGATTTCATTTCTTTGCAGACATACCAATAGAAGAAAGCAACAATTCTAGAAAATTCTTGCATGCGACGGCTGTACATATAAAAATGGCCTTGATTTGTGTCACACATGTATAGAGTATAAATCTGGACAATTCTTTGCATGTACTCTGCGGTGCAAATATTTGTCGTAGAGTTTTTTATTTGGGATTTTTTTTTTTAATTCCCGGTCATAAGTAAATATGATTAGCTAAATTAAATTTCTAATTGTAATTTATTTATTTTGGGGTACTAGACAAGGATAAAACTTAAGACAGAACTCACTACCAAAGTAGCATCTAAAGGATACTCACTGTAAGTCTAAGGAGGAAAAAGAGATGAAAGAAAATAAAAAGGTGATGTTTCATAATTAAGAGATTTTAAACTTCTTACTGCAAACTTTACAAATGTCTCAAAAATAAACTAAGCTCGCGGGACCAATTGTTAAGTTAGTATATCCAACTTGCTAATCCAATTAGTAAAACAATTTTGTGAAGACCAGATTTTACGCTAGTTATGTTTGTATACTTGTACGAGTACATGCCAATTTTATACAGTACCTAATTTAGAATTAGACAAATAAAAAGGAAATGGTTCAGCGTCACAACTCACGGCATCCAAAAAGCATCGACATCTATAACCTTTTTTTTTTTTTGTTTTTTAAAGTAATAATTAAAAGATAGTTATTAATTGTGTGATTGATGTAACATCATGAGCGCTGATGAGGGCGGAGAGTGATCGTCGATGCAAAAGGACATAGATAAGGAGCGACTCCTGACAAGCTTCTAGCAGGAGTTACATGAATGAATCGAATCGACAACCGAAAGAAAGAAATTTCAAAGACTGTGCGCAGGTATGAGACTGCATAGTTGAGAATAACTTATAAGAATTAATTAGTATTATCTATACTAACGAGATGCATCTACTTTTCGGTAGCCTAGAACGGAAGAACTCCATAGAAAAATTTTTCTGGGATGGGTGACCTCCTAGGAAATTTTTCCAGGAAGTGTGCGAGTGAAAAAAAAAATACACTAAAAAATCTCGTGTTAATATATGGGGATAGTCATTGATTCTTGAAGCGACCCGAAAATGCGTGCTTTTCTAAAGTCTTTACACTTCATGTATAAACAGTACTACTAATGAGTAATGATAACGACTGAAATCTCCCATTAACTGATAGCAAAGCTAGTTTTTAGCTAACACTTTGGTACCACATTCCTCAAGTATTGGAACACAGCAATTATTAATGCCTTATTCCCTTTCTTACTGCTGATGCAAAGGTGGGAAGGGGTAACAAGCTTGTTTGCTGAGCAACATGTATTGTTTTGCCATTTCGATAGCTTGCTTCATTCTATAGCTTGTTTGCAGGGCAAAATCAATAACCCCATTTTCTAGTAAATTAGTTATCTCCTTTTTCAAATATGACTGAGAATTATCATTCATCACCTTCACTCTTGAGTGTATTTTTGGATGAATTGAGTCCAAAAATTAATACCTTTTGGGTCGTCCAGGTCCACAAATTATGTGATAACTGAACAATCATATGTTGTAGGATTGAAAACTCACTAAAAATATCTTATACCAAGGGTCAAACTTACCTTCCAATAAAGATTAATGAATCGTTACGGACGCAAATTGAGGAAAAGAGATGATGTAGCTTTTGATGAGAATTTATACAGTATGCATAATTAATACTTTTCTAAAAATGTGTATCATTTTAAAGGTTTGTGCCCGTTTGGATGGGCTTTTATTCCTAAAAAAATTATTTTTTTTTTAAAATAAAAGTCCTTTTGAGATATTTTAGATGTTTGGATAACAACTTTTTAAAAAAGCAAAATTTAAAATAAAAGTTAAAATGCTGCTTTTTTTATAGCTACTAGTTGGTTGCTTTTGAAGAAAGTAGAAATTAAAAGATAATATAAATTTATTTTTTTTGGAAATAAGATAATATAATTTTTTAAAATACAATTTTAAGCTCATCTTATCATACCTATTTTATCTCTCCTTATCCCAATATCATGCTATTTTATCTCTCCTTTATTGTAATTTTATATACAAAAAGTGCTTTTTTATTTTAACATCCAAATAACTTTTTTTTATGTAAAAGTGGTTTTCAAATCATACATCCAAACGTAAAATAACTTTATCTATAAAAAAAGTTCTTTTAAAAGAAGCAATGCATAAAAAGTCATTTTTTTAAAAGCTCATCCAAACGGGCCCAAAGTTGTGTCATTCAAAGTGAGAGAAAGAGATAGATAAAGGAGGAGAGAGAGTGGACAGAAAAATATAAAGGTGTGGGTCCCACCTCTTTATGAGAGTGAAAGGATATAAGTTATGTCATTTAAAAAAAAAACATTTTTCCCTTAATTATATATATATATAGGGTAGGAATTTTTTGACTATAATGTATGACTTAGAAATCTTACTCCTCATCTCAACTGTTGATTTCGTTCATCTAACGGTTGTTATTTATTTAAAATTAATAATTAATTAATTGGTATAACTCAATAAACTATAACCGTTAGATGAGTGAAAATCAAATGTTAAGGTGGAGAGTAAATTTTTTAAATCTTATACCAGAAAGAGATAATTTTATTTTTTACACATAAAATTATATGGGCCCATGTAAAAAGAGAGATAAAAAAAATATAGGTCACACATATTTTGTGTGTGTAGGAAATAAAATTAACCTTATATATATATATATATATATATATATATATATATATATATATATGGGGATAGTTATATTTACAATTTTTTTGTTTACAAACTCTTACAAACTACATTATGTACTCTTGGAACTGCACTATGTACTTCAAGAAGTACATAGTATAATTTCCAAAAATTTGTAAATGGATCCTTCATATATATATATGAGAAAAATATTTCTCAAGGAGCTTGAGATAAGTTTATCTCCGGCTACCCAAAACTACGTCGTTTTATTTATTTATTTCTTTATATTAATTGATTCACCTTTGAATAGTTATGATTTAGTAGCCGGAGATAAGATTATCTCAAGCAGCTTGAGAAACGATAAGCCCTATATATATATATATATATATATATATATATATATATATATATATATATAGGGTTAAGATCATTTTACAATGTAAGTTACACTCTCAATCTTGATCGTTGATCCCACTTATATCTAAGGGCTCTAATTTTTTAGTAATGGGAGTCATTGGATACAAGTGGATCAAGATTGAGTGTAAGACCTTTAACTCTTATACCGGTGTAAGAATATCTTGCTCCATATATATATATATATATATATATATATATATAGTAAACTTTGAAATTTCTTAGAAGGTGTTGTTAAAATATAAAATATTATTTATAAAAATAAGTACATTGCATTGATTGTAGCAACTGATATCTCGTATTTGGCTCGTTGAGCCCGTTCCAGGTTGAGACCCAAGAAAATAATACATGAAATTCATCACCTATTTATTTATGAGAAAATTTTGAATGTACACGCAAATGGTATATATTAACATGTTTTTCTTCGGGTGAAATTATAGGCTACATTTTCAAAGCTCCATAACACTGTTTTAAAATCTCATTCCACCTCCGATTGACCCGGGTCAACCCTGATCTCTTCCCTTTGAGGGTTAGAGTCACAAGTTGAACTCTATATGCATATCGACCCTCTGATCTCCAAAACCCGGCCGGGTTTCAGTGACTCCCGGGTCAGAGGGGTCATTGCATGTTTTTTTTAAAAAAAAAATTCACGAAACAACATCGTTTTATTAAAAAATAAAATTAAAAATGCTTGCAAACCTAAATCTAATCGTTCTCTTCACTTTTAGTGTTAGAGAATAATATAAATCGTTAAAAAGGCCCTTACTCAACACCTTAAGGTTTTGGGTTGAAGTGGTTATTTACATGGTATCAGAGCTTGAGTGACCATAAGGTCACGAGTTCGATCCTTACCGCCCCCACTTGTGGAATTAAATAAAAAGCATAAAAGGTAAACAAAAAATTGGGCTTGTGCAATATCCACGCTTCAAGCCTAAAGCCCTCTTGCGTGAGGGGATGTGTTAGAGAATAATATAAATCGTTAAAAACGCCTTCACTCAACACCTTAAGGTTTTGGGTTGAAGTGATTCTTTACACCTAGCGACCTAGACGTCTTCAATCTTTAGTGAATCTTCTAGAAAAGGTAAGAATTTTATCTATTCAATTTGTCAGGGATCTTCTCAAAAGAGGGGTCAGCATAGTGACCCAATTAGAATATGAGTTTTGTACTTTGGTATCTTGATACTTTAATTAGGTTGTGTAATATTGACTTGTGGTCGTAATTTGTGAATTATGTTAAGTATATTTTGAATTTTTGATGATGGTTGATTTGTTTTTTAATATTTTTATATAGAATATATATATTTATATTTTTTTAATATATAAAACCGGGTCAGCATAGTAATCCTGTGACCCCTCAATTAAACCTGTGACCTCATGACCCCTGACCTCGGCCGGGTCAACGCCCGGGCCGGATTTTTAAACGATGCTCCAGAATGACAAAAACGAATTAAAGAGGTACAGGGACTTGGAATACCTCGTGAGAAAGTTAACAGCAATATACAGAACTCTAGAATAGTAGCATTGCTAGACTATAAACTCGTGTAACAATTCATTCAATTAGTTGATCCACATCTTCTAGGCTTCCAATTAGTAATTAGTCAAAATTTCCAAACAAAAATCTCGCAGATGCAATGTAAAAAATACACATCAGCCCGTCAAATTGGAAATTTCTCTAGCACTAGTCAAGGAGTTCGTTTTAATTTAGAGCTATGGATTCAATAAGCAGAAAAGAGGGATCATAAACAAACTAGGCTTGGGTGGAAACTACGGTTTTGGTCATATATCTCAGCTTGAAACCCTTATCAACAAAGAAGACTATATGAAGGCATGTCTTCAATTTGTAGAACATCATCATCCATCAACAATTCTTTTTCTATCTGAACTCGTGTGGATTTCAAGACATCCTGTAAGAAAAAACAGTTACTCATTCCCTCATAAAGAAGCTCTCCAATAATGCAAAATAAAATAAAATAAATAAAATTCCATATATGTAGCAATTAGCATTTCATACGGATATTTGGCATTTTATTCATAAAAAAATTAACAAGTATACAATGGATTCTTACATTAAATTCCATATATGTAGCATTTCTCTCCTGCCACTGTTTGTCCATAACCACAAATGCCACACAATAAAGCAGGTCAAATGCCCACTCATTTTCTGCAAATGTTGGAGAATATTAGAACTTACAAGAATGGTAAAAAAACTATTAAAACATTCTGTGTATAAATTGGGACCAATGGTCAAAGCATATGCCAAAATTGGAATCAGTTCAAGCTGCCTTCCCGAAGCAAAATAAAACAAGATAGTTGCTGGTTCTAACCTGAGAGCATTTGTAGAAAAACTGCTCTTACGGAAGTCCTGGGTTTGGCTGCAAGTGAAGAAAATGCGTGGCATTAGCAATATTGTTTTTAATTAAGATGACAAATTCTATGCCCTTTTAAGATGAGCATGTTCTGTAATTTGAGTTTCCTTGGAGACTTGGGCCACAAGACTTATGTTCAATGTTTAATCAAATGTGAGAATGTGTAAAGCAACCATATCAACTAACAGCTTAAGCTTATAAGTGATGAGTCTTCAATAGTTTTTATATTATATCTTTCTAACACACACCCTCACGCAAGAGCCCTTTGAGTTTAAAGGGTGGATATTGCATATACTAGAAAGTGGGGGACGGTGTGGATCGACCTCATGACCCCGTTATCATCTTGGCTCTAATAGCATGTAAAGAACCACCTAACCTAAATGCTTATCTCTCTATCATAATATATTAACAAAATAAATCAATAACTATCTTAGGTGCAAAATGCATTGTGAGAAAAAAAAAAAAAAAAAAGGTTCATGACGTACTGGCATCGAGGTCCAGCATTTGCATAATCATGAATGTGATATTTATGCCAGCAACAGCAAAAGGATACTCCCAGACAGCTCCCTTTCCTCCTTGCTTCTTCAATAGGTGCTGGAAAGAAGTCTGCAACGACAAATAGAGAAACTTCAAAACAAAAGCAAATAAATTATTTGTAGAGTAAAGATCAGAAGAGTTTGTAGCATTATTTCTTTTGTCTATAGAATGTAACATTATACTCAGAAAAATCAATGGCCTTGTTAGTTTTTATTTAATGTCAACAACATTGGGATCTGGATATTTTTATTTTGGTGTCTAAGATAGAATTGGAACCACCGAAAGATAGTAGTTAGTTCAGAATCTTACAGAGAATGTCTTTGCAAAGAATAGGAGATTCTCCAAGGAAATGAAACCAGCTCCTCTGTTCACGAAATTGGTCCAAAGTAGAAAGAGTAAGTGAGCTATGTCAAAAGCGAAAATAACACAAAAACATAAAGGATGATGAGACAAATATAACCTGAAATCAGTGGATGGATCTCTTCCCTGCCACCCCATTTCTTTCCATTGATCAGAAATCAGGCCTTGGAGCTCCTGACCAGGGAATGAAGCAGACCACAGAGCTCTCAAAGCTTCCTGTCAATGTGAATAAATGTTAAAATATCAATACTGCTAAATTTAGTTTGAACCATCAATTTTCCATGTCAATGTGCTGGTATAAATTTAGCTGAGAATAAGATTGTAGCAAATTCCTCAACAGAAGATGCTTACTCCAATCCAAAGGAAAATAAGAAAACTCAAACATATATATATGCAGGTACCGAAAGTTAAACAACATATACCTGGTGATCAAGTTTGGAAGCATCAAAGTAAACTTCCATTCTGCGCTTTAGTCTTCTCAGTCTTTCCTCCTGCAAAAAATTTACAAAGCTGCTGGTCAACAAATTTTTTCTCGTTTTTTGTTCTTTTTTTTCCTCACTGCTACCGGTTCTCAATGAATTTATGACAAAAAAGAATGTGAAAAAAAAAAACGCAACAATTAAACCAAGTATCAGGGATAACACTGGACAGTTTGGAAACAAATTTCAAATGCATTTTCAACAATTGTTTCTGCAATTATTCTCAGAAAACAAAAAAGATTTCCAATAACATGAAAATTCTAGTTATTTTCACTATTTTCAATTAACTTCTAAGACTATTGACAGTTTGTTTCCAAAAGTTTCCAGTTATTCTCGAAAACTATCTTGAAATATATTTCACAAACTCTGCAAGCTGTCTTTGAGCTAGTTAGTTATGCATTAGTAAAATGGACCCTTTGAAAAGAGTGTGAAGGGACACTGATAAGAACCTTGAGGAGGTGCACAACCCCAAAACCTAGCTCAAAGGGTAGGAGTGCCTAAGGTCTTATAAATTCCACATTAGTTGCCCATACAATCAATGTGGGACTCCAAGTCCCATACCTTGCAAATGGGATCGTGACATCCCACCACGCTCCGCAACTCCGACGCCCACGCGGTCTGGTACCATTTGATAATACCTTTAGATGCACTACTCCGAAAGCTAGCTCGAAGGGTGAGAGTGCTCCAGGCCTTATAAACCCCACATTAGTTGCCCATACAATCAATGTGGGACTCCAAGTCCCATACCTTGTAAATGGGATCGTAACAGACAGCAATACACGAACTAGTTCAACTTCTTAAACTGATGGACAGGCATCAAATCGGTAAAAAACCAGCTTTTAACTTCAATTGTAACTTTGAATGAACGGTTATACAAGCACAACGAAAACAGTATAAACTATAAAGCAGGAAGCTGGCATTCAATTCAAGGAGGTTCAGAGTCCAAATGATTCAAGCAAATAGGAGAGTAATTTTGTACAAGAAATGCAACACATAAACCAAAATGAGCACATCTAGAAATTAAAAAGTTTAAAAACTACACAATAATTATTTAAGTAGGTAACTACAAGTAGTAGACTAAGCAAAACAGCAATGTCTAACTTGCAAATTACTGACCTGTAAAGGAGTCAAACTAATGCAAATTCGTTGAAAGTTTTCCTTACGCTTGAAGCAAACACAGGTGAGTCCTTTACCAATCCACGCAGGGGAGACACATGTTGCATGATCTGCATATAACCAATCAGGAGAGTTCCTCATTCAAGCTTTTTCCTTTTTTATTTTTATTTTTTTTCCTTTTTTCTCTTACTCATACAAAGCCAGTTACTTGGTTCTTCAAGAAAGGATTCAAAAAGATCATTTTTGTTAACTGACACGAACAAATAAAATGGGTAACCCGAACAAAACAATATCTTATCGGAGGGGACATAATCAAAGGAGTTGCGTATGGTGAAGGAGGTGGAGGAGGAAGGTGTGGAAATTTGAACAGTGTGCGTTGTCGTCTTTTGCCCCGACAAACCGAAAAAAAAAACAAAATGACAGAGACAAGCCATGAGCTGTGATGTTGGGGCTAATGGGACCACGCAGTGGCGGAGCAACATTATAGTTGGGTGTGGCCTCGGCCGAATTAAATTTTAATAAATTATATTTATTATGTATAATTATATAATTAATTATAATTTAGCCTAGTCTAAAATTGTAATTTGACCCGGGCTAAAATTTGTAATTTGATCCTATCAAAAAATTAAAATATATTTGGTGAGAGATTTGGCTAAGTTGTATTAAGTTATGTGTTCCATTTTCATTTATATAAAAAAATTAAAATATAGCGAAAACTTCAAAAAAAATCCTATAACTTTCTTCGTAATCATTTACGACCTCTCCAAAATTTTGAATCATTCACCTCCCTTACTTAAAGTTTTTTTATCATTTACCCCCTAGGTTAGGGTGGTAAATGATAAAAAAACTTTAAGTTGGGGGTAAGTGATAAAAAAAATCTAAATAAAGATGTAAATGATTCAAAAATTTGTGAGAGGTAAGTGATAATTAAGAAAACTAATAGGGATTTTTTTAAAGTTTTTCCTAAAATATATTCAACAAAATTTAAAAATATTTAATAAAATTATAATTCTTTTTTGAGTTTTATTAATCTCCTTTTACATAAAATAGGTATCTTATGTTGCAGAGAGAAACTAAGTCGGTCCCACCATTAAAAAAAAAAAAAAAAAAAGGTGTGGAAATCGAAGTGAGAGAAAATGAGATAAGTTACCTTAGATAAAATGAGAGTAATATTTTCTTTCTTTTTTTATGCTTCCTACTTAAGTGTTTTGTATTTAATATAATTTAACTATATTATAATATGAACTAACTAAAATTAAGAAAAATAAATACACATATAATCTTTTGACCGGAGCTCTGGTTGGAGCTGGCTCCGCCACAGGGACCACGTGGACACATCAAGAATCATTATACACATATGTTATCCTCTGCATGTGACATATAAAATAGGGTCTTGTATCTATAATTTAACATGACCACAACAACTTTCCTATACACACAACATTTTGTGGGACCCACAATTTTTGAAACCAAAAAATAAAATAAAATCTGGCACGCAAAACTTATCTCTATAACATAACACAATCACTTTTTCTACAACATAACTCTTATTAAACCTTATAAAATAAGTCCTTTTTTTTCATTTTTATTTTGTCTTTGGTCTTTCTTTCTGTGTTGACCAGTTAGTTTAGTTTAGTTCTTGACTTCTTTCGGTTTGGTAACTCCCCATCCCCACCACTGCCATGTTCTTGTTTGTGCTTGTTCAGTTGTTCCCTGAGACTTCATGCACTGTTACAACAACTCCATCAATAATAACACAGTCATATCCTATCCTATGTAGTAGTTATGTTTGACTAGTTTCAGTGATGCTGTCGTTCTAGTGGGACCCTCGCTCTTCGGCGTGGATTATTGACGCCACTAAACTGACAAACCGTCTGCTTCAAAACACCAAATTCGGCACTGAAATTGATTAGGCTCTGTTTTTTATGATTCTCATCCATCTTTAATTATGTTAATTAATACACCAGAAAATTTATTTCCATTTTCATTGGAATAAAAGCTCTTATATTTAAATTAGGATTTAGTTTTAAGGGTGAAGAGTTGATGATCTATTACTCTTCCCTGTTAATATTTTGCCTTCTTGGTTTGTTTTAAGCTCCAATCATTTGATGGAGCAAATTTGTTTAAACATTCATAATCTGATTGTTTAGTTGTTCTGGGATTGGTCCTTTATTTTTATCAAAAAAAAAAAAGAAAGCTCTTATATTTTGTGTACTAAAAAAAAAAAAACTCGTATATTTTAATTAAATAATCATGCCATGTAAAGGAATTCTAATCACATTTAGGAGAAACGGTAATAATTTTATAATTATATTCCCATATTTGTTTTCCTTTATCATTATTAATCCTTTGATTATAATTCCCTGATATGACTAATAATGTTAATTAACGTATGAAAGGGATTGGGTCTAGTAACATTGGATTCTCCAAATTTGAAAACATTATCTTGTTTTTTTTTTTCCCGAAACCCAGTTTTCTTTTCTTTTTTAATAAAATCCCAAAACTCAAAGTGGTCTTTAACAAATTAATGTCTCGTAAATTATATTGCGAATAACACGGGAGAAAACCCTGAAATTTAGATGAAAGAAACAGCTTTGTAAGTTCGCTAGTAAAAATTTGATCGCAATCTTAACCAGACTCTTCCGTCACGGAAAAAATGATAGCGAAAGTGCCTCGAGTTCAGTAAGCGAGAAAATGATGAATAAGACATCGCATTGATTAAAAAACATTATTTTTTAAAAAAAAAAAAAAATTGATGTTTGTCATTTTAAATGACATAAATTATGTCATTTTAGAAGAGAGATAGACACAGAAAAACGAAAATCATGGGAGAGAGAAAGTGAGTAATTTTTTTTAATTTAAAATTCAAATTTTCTGTGTCTGTATCTCTCTTAGAATGAGATAATTTTCTGTCATTTAAAATTTAAAATTTAAAATGACAAACTTTGAGGAAAAAGATTACAACAATGCAAGCGAGGCAAAGCATTGGATTGGACAAAAACAGAAAAATGAAATCATGTAAACGAAGAAATCAGAGAAGACAAAATATGTTAATATATTAAAACTCAAAATGTGTGTGTTTTTTTTTGTTTGAGAGTGAGAAATGAAGGTTACCTGAAATGGAAGAGGTGGAGGAAGAAGAAGAGGAAGAGCGGAGTGCATGCAAGAAACCATCGATCTTAACCATCTTATTGTCAGCGCTGAATTCCACTCCTTTCTTTTCTGGGATCTGCGAATTACAATAGTATGTTGTAGCACTGTCTTGTACTTAATCTAATAATTAAGAACAAAAGCGATTAGATAAGATGATAGCGAACTTACAAATTTTTACTAGCGAACTTACAAAGCTGCTGTTTCTTTCATACAAAAAAGAGAGAACAAAAGCGTTTTCGTATTTCAGTGTCGTTTCCAAAGTCCATGTTTGTTTGTCTCATCTGCCTTTCCTCACCCAATTGGTACCGAATCAGATATATATATAGACTTTCACGCTATTGACGGCTGCGGGCTGTCTCCAACTCCTTGTGTTTTTTAAACGTAAAAATTGCGATTATTAGGTTAAATTTATCATCTTTTTATAACTAAATTTTAACGGAGAAAAAAAATTAAAATACTATTATTTTAATAAATAATTACCGATACATAGTTATTTTAAAATTATTTACGAATTTATTGCACTCATTCACGCTTAAATTAGGCGTGACTATTCACGCCCAAATTAGGCATAACTCCCAATGCATTCACGCCTAAATTAGGCGTGACTCGTCTGGTATTGACACGTGGCACAAAAAATTAATAGTTTAACCGTAAAACTTTATAAGGTCATAACTTTTGACTCGGGTATCCGAATGAGGTAATTCTTTTTTTGATTCCACATAACTTTTCGAGATCTGCACAATGACATCTCATTTGATATATTTTATCTCTCACAAACACAATTCAAATTTGCAATAATGATACTATAAAGATTGCATCAAAGTGGATTAACTCATCTATAAATAAGATAGCATCAAATTTTCTATTAAATACAAAACGCAATTAGCTCCTATTAAATACAAAACGCAATCAACTCCTATAACATTAAATTCAAAATTCAAATAACCTCCAGCAAATTTATTTGAATTGGCGACAATCTGTAACCAACTCATAAAATTACAACGCAATCAGCTCCTATTAATTACAAAACATAATTAACTCCTATTAAATACAAAATGCAATCAACTTATTCGAGGTTATTTGAATTTTGAATTTTGAATTTAATATTATAATATCATTATTGGACATGAATGAGTGCAATATATTCGTAATTAGGTTCAAAATAGCAACTTATTCGTAATCATTTATTAAAAAAGCAATATTTTAATTTTTTTGCCTCTACCAAGTGTTTGAAAAATAATAGTCTACAAGGTTATTTATTTAATTATTAAAATATATAAAAATTTATATAATATTCTACCAAGTGTTTAGAATATTTATTTATTTATTTTCTTTATTAATACATATTTTTCAAATTGATTTTTGAGTTTAAATCATAAATTAAATTTTTATTTTATTTTTCTTATTAATAATAATTTTTTAATTTTTTTTGGTAATACACTATATAATACCATAATTGCAAATTTGAATTATGTTTGTGAGAGATGAAATATATCAAATGAGATGTCATTACGTAGATCTCAAAAAGTTATGTGGAATCAAAAAAAGAATTACCTCATTCGGATATCCGAGTCAAACGTTATGGCTTTCCAAAGTTTTACGGTTCGTAAGTTGACTTTTTTTGTCACGTGTCAACATCAGATGATTCACGCCTAAATTAGCCGTAAATGCCTTGGGAGTCACGCCTAATTTAGGCGTGAATAGTCACGCCGAATTTGGGCGTGAATAGTCACGCCTAATTTGGACGTGAATGAGTGCAATAGAGCCGTAGATAGTTTCGAAACAGCCATGTATTCGTAATTATTTATTAAAATAGTAATATTTTAATTTTTTGCCAAATTTTTTGCCAAATTTTAATAGTTCACTTTGTCAATTTCATGATTATAATTCATTAAGAATTAATAATTAATTAATAAATGTGATATAATAAATTATAATAGTTAGATTGAAGAAATTCAATGTCCGCCGCTTAGGAGTAGGGTCTTGACCCAGGTTAAATTTCAAAATTAGTCACATTTTTAATATGGCTAAATAACCGTGACCACAATTCTAGATAAAATTTAGTGTTAGACCCCACTTAAATTTTTGTTTGTCCTAGCTTAATGAATGGGTTGGCTCCGTCATTGATTCAATAATTAAGATTTGGTTGGAAGAGATTGTAAGCGAAAAGAGGTTATAAATGAAAAGAAATTGTAAATATAACATCAGAAAAATATTTCTACAGTTACTGCAGATAAGTTATCTGCATTTACTTCCAAACCGATGTCATTTTGGGATTGAAATATTAAAAAATTATAATTATAAAGACTATAATAATCCTGAAATAAATTAAAATTATAAAAACACTATAATTTTCGTTCAAAACGACGTCGTATTAAACTTATTGTAGATAACTTATATGCAGCAACTGCAAAAAAAAAAAAGCGAACCCATATAACATTCCTCATTTTTGAATTCTTATAGATTTTAATGGTTTATATTTAAATTGCTGTAGTTCGTTGGATTATTAATGTTATTAGGAAAGAATTATATTTACAAACTAAACTAAATTATTTACAAATTACTTACCAAAAATACTATTTACAAATTCTTATAATTAAATTTTAATTGTTGATTTCCGTCAATCTAACGGATATAATTTATTGAATCATATTTATTAATTAATTATTAATTTTTTAATAAATTATAATAACTATATTAACGGAAATCAACGATTAAAATTTAGTTGTAAGCATTTATAAATAATTTAGTTTATAAATATAATATTTTATTATTGTTATTACTATTATTATTATTATAAAGAACATTTGAGATGCCCAAATTCACAAACAGTTTTTCAGGATTTTATTGTCACTCGATTTCTTTTTAAGTTCTTAAAAATTGCAACCGAAAGTTTTATTAAAACAACAATTTGGAATTAATGTCAATTGAAGATTGACTTTTAAATCAATTAGCACGTTAAAGGCGCGCCTTTCACTTGATTGGGTCACTTGGCAGTACTACAGATGATGCATTGTCTTAGTGTTGTTACTTATTAGGCAGCATTTTTGTTATCGTATGTTTAACTCAGTATATATAAGTGTTTTAAATTCCTATGAATTTTAGTTAAACATTTTATTATTTTCATGATCATAGTTGAGAATATATAATTTCTATTTTCAATTCTAAATTTTTATGTAACCCAATTTTTATGTGTTTGACGTTATTTGGTCATGTTTTACAAATGAAAAAGTAAAATATATTAGCCAACCTAAAATATCAATTAATTGTGAGTGTGAAAAAATACAACACAAAAGTATAGTATGCAACAATGCAATATTCCACCCGAAATTGATAGTGCGTTATTATAACCAAATGTTATTTAGTTTTTCAAATTCGTTTACCAAAAAAATAATATTCAAATTCAAATACCTCTAATTACTTAGAGTTTAATTAGCAAGAGAGGAGAAAAAACGGCGTCATTAAGATAGAACAGGTAAGAGAAGGATTTGGTGGGATAGTTGTACAATCAATTTTGTTAAGAAATTTGGTATGGTGATCATAGAGTTGAATTTGAATAGGTTGACTGAGCTTTGATAGTAAAAATACACAAGTAATTTTGGATGGAATTAGCATCTTTCCTTAAATTCCTTCTTTAACTTTTGTGTCGTTGTGTTTTTTTTTCACACACACTATTAATTGGCATTTAGGGTCGTTTAATATATTTTAATTTTGAGTCTTTGAATACACCGTTATTAGAGTGCCTCTTACATGATTGGTTCTCCTGCCGTGCATGCGTTTTGATTTATTATTTTCTTAATTAAAAAGATAGACGTTGGGAGCACTTGCACTTCTCACAACAGTAAAAAAAATTCACATACACATCGATATTAATTTTTTTTTTTTAAAAAGTCATTGGTCAATGTACGATTTTTTAACGTGATCTTAAAAAAAAAAAATTAACTATTATCTTTCAATAACATGAAATGAAGTATCTACAAACTAATTGTAGTAATCCTCAGGTAGTGACATAGTCTATAAGTTTTGTAGTAATCCTCGTAAACCTCAAATAATACCATTTTCAATTGGCATATATAGAAGCCTTTGGACTTATCATAAATCCTAAAGAGCAGATCTTCTCACTTGCACAACTAGAAAGTCCATATTTAACCAAATGACCAAAAAGAGAATCAACCAGCGCATAACAACCATAGCATATTAGGAAGTGACAGAAAATCATTGAATCTCCATCAGCACAGAGAATGTAGATGAACATCATGCTCCCAATTGAGGGTGTAAAGAACCTTGGATACACCACCCCAAAAGCTAGCTCAAAGGGTGGGAGTCTACAAGGCCTTATAAACTCCATATTAGTTGCACATACAACCAATGTGGGATTATATATCCCTTTACATGGTGGTATCAGAGCCTCGCCGCCCCCCACTTTCTCTTGTGGCGTTTTTTAGCACAGGTAAGCTGGGCCTGTTGCATTGTCCACTCTTCAAGTCCAATGGGCTCTCGTGTGAGGGGGCGTGTTGAGATATATAGTCCCACATTGATTGTATGTGCAACTAATGTGGAGTTTATAAGGCCTTGGGCACTCCCACCCTTTGAGCTAGCTTTTGGGGTGGTGTATCCCAAAGTTCTTTACCGATGGAAAAATGTTACCCAAATCAGAGACCAAAGACCAAAACAAGTCCCAGACTAAAAATGCCATCAAAATCTCTATTTTAAAATTCTGATATTGAAATTATCGTATCAATGATGTTCTTCCCTTTCAGGGATTGCCACTGTAACTGAAAAATGAATGTACAAGATCAAGGAAGAGAGCTCTGAAGATCATCTTTTCTTCCACCAATCTGGGATTTTAAGCCTCCGGTTTCGATGAACAGAACGTCTGATCCATGGAAGCTTGTGCTTGACCTGTCTCCACAGCATATTAACAGCATCTTCTTTTATTGGAGGGTAGTGGAATTCATAATGATGGGAGATGTTTTTAAGCTGCCTCCACATTTCAGTCCATTTCTGCTTTGGAAACATTCGAAGCTCATTGATCATGTAGCCAAGCTCTAATGCCTCTTTGAAAGAGAAGAACACTGAGAACTGAGAGTAGTCAATCTCATCCTCGAATGGGAGTTCAATGTGATCACTCACAATAACAGGAACACAATGACTCACAATGGCATCAAAAAGGCGACAAGATGAAGGTGTATCTCCTGCTGGATGCAAACAGAATTTTGATGATCGCATCCCCTGAGATGACTGTTATAGCAGAAGCAAAGCATAAAGGAATACTACAGTTAATGTTCTTTTCATTATCAACCAAGAAAAAAGAAAAGAAAAGGACAAGAAAACAATAAACTGACTATGATTCTTCTCCCAATGCAAAGACTATCTATCTGTTTAGAGTACAATGAAAATTTCAAGATATATGCTCCCTCAAAACGGATCATGTTTGATTCAGGGTAACAATGTAACATAATATTTTCAGTAACAGGAAAAATCTATATGCTTGGACATACAAGTACTCTTTTACAAACAAAAGATTTTCTTCACAGGATTGATTGTATTCTACATCTGACCAGTTGAACACATAATACAGAAAGTACTCTATGCTTCAAAAACATTTCATTTAGTACACAGAAGCAAATATCTTTTCCTTTTTTTGGGGTTCTTCTCCTTTAACTGACAACGATGTGGAAGAAAAACACTTTAAAATTGACCATTTAACTTTAAGAGATTGTTAACCACAAACTTCCCAACAACAGATAAGTGAAAAACAGTACAAGTCATAGACTGAAATGCATACCAATTTTATGTTTTCTCCTGTAGCAACACTACGTTCATAGCGAACATCATCATAACCAGCTAATATCTTTGCTAGTTTAACACGGATTTTGCCTTCCTGCAAACATCACAGACCCCACAAAATCAAGTTGCTTGGAATTTCAAGGAAGTTTTTGATATTCTTTCAATTGAATCTCAGCCAGACATACTTTCTTACGTAATGTCTTCCCTTTGAAAAAAAGCAGAGTGGTACGAGACTCATATGGATCTTGAGGCTCATCATCTGTAAGAGAATCCACAACATGTGCATATGGGGACACTACATCTTTGTTCAAATTAGATATTCCTTTGGGGTAACGGCCAAAATCTACAACAACATGAATAGCTTCATTCACTTGATCCCGCAGGAACCTAAAGGCGTTGGGATGTGTCATAGGAAATACATGGTCTCTACCTCCAGACCTTTGCCAGTACTTGGATTGCCTTAAGATCCCCATTAAATCAATCTGAACCAACAATCCATGTTTAATTAACACCAGCAACATAAATTTGAAATATAAAAGTAGGGTAATATTACTGTATCATGAGAGAATGAGAGTAGTTCTCTCATGTTACAGAAAGAATCCAAGTAGGGCCCGTTATTTAAAAGCAAAAAAAAATTATCTCATTTATTTATGAGTAGTATTTCCCATAAAAGTATACAATAAACTTTTGAGGGTTTTGAACAAGGGGACTGAAAAAATTAAATTAAATTTAAATCAGTAGTCCCCATACCATGGCCCTATCCAATTACTGAACTTTTTAAGAGATTAGGAACTTCTCTTTTCATGTACTGAGAGAGAAAAGACACAAACAACTTCTATGCAAGACTGGTGATTCATTGTATTGAAAAAAACTATCCTTCTTTCTTTGTCATTTAGGGCCTGTTACATAAATGAAATAATTTGAAAAAAAGCTCTTACGAGAGTTTTGAAAGAATAAAAATGAAATAATTTATTAATAGGATGAATTATTAGAGTAAAGAGTAAAATTGATAATACAAATTTAAAATAAAGGTGAAATTGAAAAATAAATATGAGAACTCTAAAAAACAAGTATATATATTAAAAAAAGCTCCTTTTGAGAGCTTTTAGTTTTTTGTTTTTTAATTATAACAAAAAATTCTTTTTATAATAAGAGTTAAAAATAAAACTTCACAAACATAAGGATGACTAGTCATGCTTTAATGTTGAATCTATAAGTTTATGCAAATTATCCAAATTCCTAATCACTGGACATGAAATTGTTTAGTACTCATAGTATGAGGACTCAACAAAACATGACTCACCTAACTTGCATTTAATTCGGTCATTTTTTTTATTGTTAATTTCATATTAGATTCATTTATTTTCAAAATTTAGTAAAGGAGTATATACTAAAATAGTATTAAAAATGTACTCAATAATCCATATAGATAATAGATATTTACAAATATGAAGTACTAAACACTAGACAATCACTTAATCAGTGCATGCTAATCACTAAATACTAGATAATAGTATTATTTCATTGATCAAGTACCTGCAACTGTCGATCAACCGCCGTGGCCGAATCCTTCATATGATGGCCGTGCGTATCGAAACTCAGGGAAGAAAAAAAGGGCACAAAGAACACGTCAGCTACCTCCGGATCCCAAACCCTTATTGCTTCGCTGCGGTCACCCCCATCGTAAAGAAGCGACCCCATCATCCAGTACTCCACGCTGTGCTGCTTCATCAAACCGGATTTCTCGGGCCACGGAGGGTAATCCCCGGCGGTGACCGGAGATTCCGGTTCCGCCGTGCTCCGGCTATTGAGCATGCCGACGTTGAACCGGCGGGGGAGGTCGTACATGTAGACCTTGAGAGGAGGATCATCATCGGCGGCGGCGGCGGCGCACGGTGCAAGTGCAACAACCGCCGGCGATGTTAACATGGGTAAGGAGAAATAAGATCGAACGTCGAGTGTTCCTACTAAAATTGAGCATGAAATGAGGAATAGGAGCGGCAAAATGAAAAAAATAACCACTTTTCGAAGCATTTTTTTCCCCTGTCTATAACAATGAATGCCCCTTTGATGATGTTATCAAAAATATCAATTGTGATATTAGCATTTGCTTCCTTCGCTTTGCACTCAGCGGCATTGCCCATTACATGTGCAACCAAATATGCACTCTACCGAACGGTGCCTTTCTTGGTTTCGAGGTTAAGATTTTTCGGTTAAAGGGAAAAAAGAGTATCATTTTAAAGTATACAAATTATCTCTTTTACATGATTTACACGAAGTATGACCGGTAATATTTTATGTAAATTTGAGAAGTTATTTATGTAAATCTGAGAAGCTATTTTTTTTTTCTCGCTCTCCTCAGTCACAATCACATCGATAGGTAACATTGGAAAAAAACTTTTCAGAATTACATAGAGTATGAGTGGTCATACTATGTGTAAATTACTAAAAGGACAGGACACAATTTGTGTCCTTTTGAATGACACACACTAAATCCTTAGTTAAATGTGTCTCTCCTTTGGCTTACATGGGACAAGGGTGTAAATGGGTTAGGTCGGCCTACAGGAGCCTACGGTCCAGTCTATATTAACCTAGTAAGAAAACATGTCATAGACTTTTTAGTATATGTTGGACTTATAGCACATTCTTTATTTTAAATAAAATAAATAAAATTAATTTTAATAATTTTGAATAATAAAGTAATATTATTTTAGTGATTCTTTTAACAGAAAAATATTTCTGCAGTTAATGCAGATAAGTTATCTGCATTTACTTCCAAAACAACGTCGTTTTGAGATTAAAAAATTAGAAAATTATAATTATAAAGATTATAATAACCCTTAAATAAATTAAAATTACAAAAAAAACCATGATTTTCGCCCCAAAACGACGTCATATTGGGCTTACTGCAGATAACTTATCTGCAATAACTGCAAAAAAAACGAACTCTTCGTTTAATTGTTAAATGTTTAATAGGCTTAAACAGGGTAACAGGCCTAGGCCAAGGATTTTTTTTTTTAACATGGGTCAGACTAGATTTATAATTTGGGCCATACACAGCTAGCAGGCCAGGCCAAACTCAATATTTTTTATTATTTTTTTACACAAATCTGGCCTATTTAAGTCAAAATCTAGCCTAACCCAGCCTATTTATACCACTACATGGGACCCACATTTTACGTGTGTAAATATAATTTTCTCGCTATAACAACATAAAAGAGTTTAATGTTTATGCTTTTATTGAAAGAAATTTTTTATTTATTATCTTCACATAAAATTGAGTGAATCTTATTATAAAAAGAAGAGAGAAAAAAAATTAGTAGAATTGACTCAATTTTATTTGAGCGTAGAAGATAAAAAAATTCGACAAAACATTAAACATTTTTTGTTGCAGAAAAATTTTGTCTATTACATTCATATAAAACTAAGTCGGTCTCATTGAAAAAAAAGAAAAGAAAAAAATTAATGGGATTCACTTATTTTTTTTTTTGTGAAGGAATGGGATTCACTTAAATTCATGAGTATGAAAGATAAAATATTTATATTGCAAAGGCATAATCATTAAACCTGCAACTACAAGATACATCATACCCTTATTTTTATCAAAATTATTTTCAATTCTATAAATGTGGGCCGGCCCAATAAATATAGTAAGATTTGTGTTGGCCCAATAAGTTCTTATAGTTAATATGGGCCGAGTCTAATGACATGCCTTGATCGACCCATTTTCTGACATGCATCATATAGTAAATAGGGCATCCATTTATATAAATTGAATCCCGGGTTTTTGTACCCTAATCTGCTTCTTCCTTCAGCCGTTGGTGAGAAGAACCCTATTCTGCTTCACCCGTGCGGAAGAAGAAGAAGCTACCATGGTAACAAATCAGTGATTAGTTTTCTTCTCTCGCTACTTCATTTTTTTAGATTTCATCTAACCGATCTGTGTTTCTCTTTTCTCAGGTGAAGTACTCCAGAGAACCTGACAATCCCACCAAGTGTAGGTCTTCATAACTTGATAAAATCTTAATATGTGCTGTTTCTATTTGATTTTGTTTATTGGTTTTGCACAATCGTTTTTTCTTCACTCAAATGGATGCTAGTTTTTGAAGTGTTGATTTTAGATTAATTTAAATCTAATGCGCGATTGTTCTACGAAATTGCAGCTTGCAAGGCTAGAGGCGCTGACCTCAGAGTACATTTCAAGGTACTAATCTCTTGTAGTGATTCATCATGACATGAGATTCTTAGATTTTAGAATTGAATGTAATTTTCATGTGCATCTGTATAACGATGCCATCATTGTGTGTCTTATTTCTTGTTTTCCGTTTTTTTATTGTCTTTGGATTTTGTGTGTAAGCAACACTTGATGATGGTGCATTTTTTTTTCGGAAACTGTTTATTATTTATAGTTAAGAAATCAAGAAACCTGATGAAAAAAGCAGGGGTCAGTTGCCTATGTGAACTGGCCTCTCGTAAACTTCAGGGATATAAATCTTCATTGTTTTTGGGTGAACCTCTTTTCTTTCTTAGTGACTGAAGGTTCAGTAAATGATGGAACAAACTTTTCTCCGTTGTATTCTTGTATTCATCACGGTTAACTTGGGCATAAATCATGCTATTCTCATCAACATAAATAGTTGATCTAGTAAGTCTCATTATAAAAAACAATTGTGGGTTAGGTCCCTTCTGGGCTGAGTCACTATGGATTTTGGCTTAAAATCAGTTTATCTTTTGTTAATGAAAGTTCCATATAGTTGGTTGATAATAGGATGTACCTTAATTTATTTCATTCATTTGTTTTGGTTTCTATTATTTGCTGAGATTTGAGATTTTGTGTTTTTAATTTTCCTTTACAGAACACTAGGGAGACTGCCTTTGCCATAAGGAAATTGCCCCTGGCAAAAGCTAAAAGATACTTGGAGGATGTTTTGGCCCACAAACAGGCCATTCCTTTCCGACGCTTCTGTCGTGGTGTTGGGAGGACAGCTCAGGCTAAGAATAGGCATTCTAATGGACAAGGACGCTGGCCTGTTAAATCAGCTAAATTCATCCTAGATTTGCTTAAGAATGCTGAGAGTAATGCTGAAGTATGTCTTGTATATATATTTGATTTTCCATATGATTATTTTAAGTCAACTTTCAAACTCACTGTAGTTTTAATTGCTTCTTTGCAGGTGAAAGGTTTGGATGTCGATGCTCTTTTTGTTTCTCATGTCCAGGTTAATCAAGCACAGAAGCAAAGACGCCGCACCTACAGAGCTCATGGAAGAATCAACCGTATGTTGTGATTTTCATTCATATTCATGCCTTGATTAATGGATTATTATTACATGCTTATATTGGTGGTGGCTTTTTTGGCAGCCTACATGTCATCTCCCTGCCACATTGAGCTGATATTATCTGAGAAGGAAGAGCCTGTTAAGAAAGAGGTATTGATTGATCATCATGATATTTTCATTTTGGTTTCTCTCTTTCTTTTTCTTTTTTTTGCATTGAATGCTTATTTATTATTGTTTTGCTAGCCTGAGACCCAGTTGGCAACAAGCAAGAAGAAGGGTCAAGTTCTTCGAAGTGGAGCATCATCTTAAATTGCTTTTGGAACTAGTGGTTGGAGGTTCCTAGATTATGTCAGTTTTGTTGCTATTTTTTCTTTATATTTGTTATGAGATGTTTTTGAAGCTTGAATAGCTCTCTTTGTTTCATATACTATATTTTAAGTTATTTGACTTGGAAATTTTTATCATGGTAATCGTCTAATGGTTCGAGTTTTACTTAGTCTGGATACTTGCTGTTAGCCTTGAAAGAAGACTGTTTGAGTTGTGGATTAACGTTTCTTTTCTAGTTTGTGTTGAAAGATATCTGTTAGCCTAGTTAATTTTTCAGTGTATGAAGGAGAAAAAGACATTTTTTTATTCAGAAGATGCTTCTGTATGAGGGAAGTTTTTAGAACTGAAACATTATGTATCTAGATATCTTTTTTAGTCGTATAATTTCATGGCGTTTTTAGAATTATTATACGTGGAAAGTACCGCGAATTATTAGTGTTAAATGATTATACGAGCGATTGTGAAATTCTGTAATGCTAATTAATTTAGGTTAACTAATTGGCAAAAGCCGAAATTCGCTTGTGGTAGTATTGTTTTGTGTCATCCATTTTCCTCTTAATTATTTTACTCCTTATTTTGAAATCGGTGCCGCATCTTTTCTTACAAAATTAGTGAAATGTTATGTATCATAACCCGAATGGAAGACCAAATTAGCAAGAATTCTGAATGATGAAATAGGCTATATTGTTTAACGACGCTCGAATCGAACACGACAAATAGTAGACCAGCGCTTTGTTACTTTCTAAAATCTTCCTGTTTTATCTACACAAATTTTGAGGTTAACCAGGAAAAAATATAAACAAAATAATAAAAATAAGGTTTTATCCTATGATTAGACTATGTCTCTAACGAAATAATTTATGTTTCTAAAATCTTCCTGCCACATTTACACAGACTATTTAGTTAATCAATAATAATAATGAAAATATGAATGGATTAACAAGCCAATGTTTTAACCTTGGAGTCAAGAAGGTTGAGCCTATACTGTGCATTTTTGTTAAATATGGGCCTGTTGCATGTCAGACCAGCTCGTATGTATAGCTCTACTCATGCACCTAATAACAAAATAAGCCGAACAATTAATTATACAACATTAGAATAGGTATACAACAAAATACACCCTAAATCCCTAATAGAAATATAAAATGCATTTATTTAAAAAAAATTACAATACAATGCATTTGGTCCAAAAATTCGCTGTGGATATATAAAAGGGTGGTTCAATTTTTATATATATAAAAAAATAAGCAAACAAAATGATGGAAGAATCATAACTAAAGCAGACTCAAAAGTTGCTTTCACAGGAATTTCTGAGTGCAAGTTAGAACGATATGAATATTATAAAATTACATTTTTTAAATAAAATTTGAAAAAAAAAAATCAGATTTTAAGGTGAAGAATTTGTTTTAAACCCCATGAAGGATACGCATATTATCTATTAATGAAAGACTCCGGTTAAAATAATCTCAATACATTCGAGTTTTACCAACTGAACTAATCCTCACTGTTCATTCCCATAGAATTAATTCACACAATACAATTAAGAGTGTACTTATCCTTAAATTTTAGAGAGTCAACATCAGTATTTTAAATTAAAATAAAAATAAATACATCAGCAACTATACACTTTATAAACAATTTCATTTTAAAGGATGCTTAATGCAAATATTTATTTACTTAAATAATAATATTCAAACATTATAATACACTTACATGTAACAAGACAAATCAAAAGAAAAAAATTATCACACACGGAAAAATTGTTGAAATTATATAATTAAGTTTTGGGGTATAATATACTTATTAACACAAAAGTTTATCATCTTTATAATCGATCTAATCACCGTTGATTTTCATCAATATAACCGTTATAATTTATTGAAAATATTGAGTCACTTTTATTAATTAATTATTAATTTTTAATAAATTATAATTATTTAATTAAGAAAAATTAACGATGATTAAATTAACCATAAGCTAACAACCTTTTTTTTTTTTTTGATAACAAGCTAACAACCTTTTACTATGCCTTGTACTTTTACCCAATGAGTGAGGTTCTCACAATTTTAATGAAAAATAATCAGTAGCATATTTCTAGTACCGGTGAAATAATATTTTAACCTTTTTTTACCAAATATATATAGGGATAATTTTGTATCATTTCGAAGGACACAAAGTTGTGTCATTTTAAGTGAGAAAAACAGATAAATTATGAGAGAGAGAATGAATGAAAAAAAAATTAAATGTGTGAGTCTCACCTCTTTCTGAGAGTGAAAAGACATAAAGTGTATCTTTTTAAACGACACACCTTTTTCGCACATATATATATATATGAGTCAAGATCATCTTACACCGATATAAGAATAATAAATCTTACACCAAATCTTAACCATTGATTTCCGTGCATCCAATGGTTGAGATTTATTGGGAATTAAAAATTAATTAATGAGTGAGACCTAATAAATCTTAACCGTTAGATGTAGAAAATCAATGGTTAAGATTTGGTGTAAGATTTATTATTCTTACACCGGTGTAAGATGATCCTGACTCTATATATATATATATATATATATATATATATATATATATATATATATATATATTATATATATTTTTCTTATGTTGTAGGAAAAAAATTATCTCATGTTATAGAAATAAAAGTATAAGTGGGACCCACATGTAAGAGGAGAGAGAAAAAAAATGGTGGGACCTAACCCTTTTTTGTGTGTGTAAGAGAGATGACATAAACATAACCCGTATATTCTAATTACATTTAGCGTTGAACTCAATTTACCATTGGTCGTTGCGTGCTTCTTCTCTATCTCTGTAGGTTTTTCTGCATTCGAATCTCGCTCCTAATCGACGCTTCTATCTTCCAAAGGTAAGAGAGTTCTTCCTTCTTCTTCTTTTTCCTTTCTTTTTTAATTTCGGGTTACCCGATTACCGGAAACCCTATTTCAACAATATTTGGGGTTTTATTCGGTGTGTTGTTGAATATCGAGATACAAAAATGGAGGCCACTTTGTTGCATAATTGATCTTATATCTATATATCCAAAACTATATCAAAATTTCATTGAAATTTCTTGTTGGGTGTGCTTTTACAATGAGTGTTACTGTATTGGGGACACAGGGACTGCCAATAACATGTGTATTTTTAGAAGATTTGGTAAACTTGAACGAAAGTCTCAATCATCTCTGAGCAACCTATAGAGTATAGATTGGAGTTGTTTGCACCAAACATTGCACTGAGCAGAGATTACAGTTATATCCCACAAAACTGAAATCTAGTCCAAAGATTTTTTGTGAAACTTTTGTATCATTTTGTTGTGTTGCACAATATCACACCTTGTTGTATTTCATTGAGGCATTATCTTCATTTTAACATTTATAGTCCTAGCCAGGTCTTTAATCTCCATTGGGATTGTGATTAATTGTTAGGCTTGACGTTTGTCTAGGGCTCTGGAGAATAAACTTTACTTGAAGTTTTGGATAATTCTTTGTCTATTTTCTGATAGATAGGGTCTTTGTGTTTTGCTTGGAAGTTATTAAATGGATTATATAATAGTATGTGTCAGGACACGAGAGATTCTTGTGTTATTACTGAGAAGGATACATAATATTTACTTCTTAATGTTTTATGTAAGATCGTGTTTTATGGTTGTGCATCTTGTAGGACAGTTTTAGATCCAAGACCTTTTTTTATTGAATTTTTCGGTGTTTTTTTCTTAATTTTTTGCTTCATTAGATGGACTGGCAAGGGCAAAAGCTAGCTGAGCAGCTAATGCAGATAATGCTGCTTGCATTTGCTGTGACTGCATTTGCTACAGGATATGTCATGGCTTCTTTCCAGATGATGATCCTTGTATATGCTGGTGGTGTGATTCTCACTACATTGGTGACGGTCCCTAATTGGCCCTTTTTCAACCGCCATCCTCTTAATTGGTTGGATCCAAGTGAGGTAGAAAAGCATCCAAAGCCACAACCATCACTGAATGTAAATTCAAAGAAGAAATCCGTTAAGAAGTAGCTTTCTTTGACATGTGTTAGTACTAATATTTTGCATCTCTTTCTTATTTTCTTTCCCTCCATATACTGGATATTACAATGTAGTTTACTTTTTTGGACTACAACCATATATTTGTTTTCTTTTTAGATATGGTTTGTCTTGGTTCACTTGCCTTGCTGCCTATTTTCTACTTCTGATATCTTTTAGGCATTAATAATAATGGGCTCCTCTCAATCTTAGTGGTGTTAGTGTTTGAGTTTGATCACTCGAAATATGATAGCAAATGATTTCATACACTATTCAAAATTGGGATAGGATATTTTGCCTACCTTACAGTCTACCTACTCACTAGTCGGGTTTAATAAGGAGTGCTTTTTTTTTTTTTTACAGTCTACCTACTCCTCCAATACCGTTAGATTATAATCTCAGAAGGAGAGATAATGGTTGAAGGTTTGTTGAAATTGTAATCTAACGGCATTGGAAATAAATATGTAAAGTAAACATGAATAAAGATATTCATGATATCCCTTTAAAATATATCCTCGGTATGTAGAGTTGTAAATTAATTTTTGTTGCTTCTTCGATTTTGATGGTTAAAAGACCTAGCTAGCTACATGATCCAAGTCTGATGCAAATTGTCTTTTGCTCGCTCGCTCTCTCATGTTTTCTCTTTTCTTTCTAATACCTTCTGTTTTACAGTTGCAAAGAGAGAAACATTTTGGGTTGTAGTTGTGGTACATATGCTTGTTGTTTTGGTTGCTAATATATTTGAAAGGTTTTTCTGTCCACTGGAAGTGATTTTAGCTGTAACACCGAATGAATTGCAAAGAAAGGGGTGCGTGATTCATACACCAAGTGCATATGCGAATGGTGATTATTATGCTGGAGCGTAAGCATTGCGTAATTTTGGTCTTTTCTTTTGATAATATAATAGACTCGGGTTGAAAAAACGTCATCAGCTAATAACTTTTACAGTGCAGTGTTTATTACAATTTACAAATTGTGTCAATAATTCCGTGTTGTTGTCTTTGCACTTGGCACGGAATAATGGCTCACCCAAAAAATTTGGTGTCTGCTGGTTCATTCTGAGTTACACTTACATCTCCGCTGATGGTTTAAGTACGCCACTAACTGGCTAGCACATTAAGCCTCCTTAGTACATGAGCCGACAATATGTTTCCGAAATGTGTGTTTCGCCTAATCGTATATCTGCTGGCTGCCAGCGATCTCGGCGCCTAACATTTAGGGGTGTGCATTGACAATTTTTTCATAATTAATTTTTTTTTCAATTTTTATTTTTGGAACATAAATGGATAAGAATAGTGTTTGACAAAATTATTTTATTTATTCGTTCTGAAAATGTACCATTTTAATTTCTGTATTGAAGAACAGAAAAAAGAATAAAAAAATTTATATTTTTTTTTGTTTTCGGGCACAAAATGAGATCTACTTGTCTCTCTCAATCACCTTCTATCACTATCATAATCATCACACCCATCACCATTTCGACACGACCACTGCCCCGCCATTATCATTGTCGTCGTCCTTGTACCATCACCATCACCTCCACGCCACCATCATACTATTGCTCTTTATATTTGTGCGTATGTTATAAGTCAGTGATACCCCTATTTTTGTATCGGTAAATAGAGCTATGTATGACAATAACGAAAACTTTTATGCTAATCTTATTAATAAATAAAATATCATAGGAGAGGTTATAGTTACTATCTTTTTTTCTTACTACTTGTTACTATCAAATTTTAACTGTGGATTTTTGACAATCTAACGATTATAATTTATTAGAATTAATAATTAGTTAATAAGTGTGACCTACGAAATAAAAGTAATCTGTTTTTGGGACTTTTCCAAATGTAGAAAAAAAGTAATAATTATAACTTCCCCCCCCCCCCCCCCCCCCAAAAAAAAAAAAAACACTTCATGTTAATGTTAACAAATATTTTGTGAATTGCATAGATATTATCAAATTTGGGTAAAATATAGAATTAAAACCTAAGTTAAAGGGAAAATTTTACTTTTATTTCTTGTGGCTTACCTAGCTTGACTTTGGTTTGTTCTTTTGTAGCTTTCACATCATTTCGTGATCTCAAGCCTTTTCAGGTTGAGTTTGGTTTTTTGGAATGCTTTCTCTACTTTTAGTTTTGATGATAAAATTTTGACAAAAAGATCCAAAATAATTAGAGTAGGCTTTATGTGTATGTTCACCCTTTAGCTCAGGTTGTAAAACCCCCATACCAAGTCCCTCAAGTCAAATATTCCCTTTTGGAAACTAGCTCTATCATCTCACAAATGAAGCGTGAACGCTGCTTGTAATGCAATTATAGCGAATCAGCATGGATCAAACCTTTTGACATCATTGGAATTAAGAATGGTGTGTCCATTGGTGACATTTGCACAGACTCTTTACACGATTGAACCTACACAACAGAAGACTCAGGTCAAACAAAACAAAAAAAACTTCGGTAACGGTAACCCAGTTGATCCCGGAGATACAAGACGCTGCACAGAAGGGAACTATTTATAATGAATATACTCTGGGGATTAAGGAATCTCTAATATTTTTCATCCCTCAAAGCCCTTAAAAAGGGGTCATTCTCCTCATCAAGTAAGTTGTCGTCATCATCCATGTCATCTAAAATTGACTGGTTAATCCTCTTCCGAGATTGTCTCCGATGCTTCTTAGGTTCCAACCGTGGTTCTGCTTGCTGGACACCCATTTCTCCAATTTTGAACCTGCAAAAAAATGAATTATTAAATCAATAATATAATTATGAGGTAGTTGATTCAATAATTGCCCAGGATAAAGGACGATATTATTATAACAAATCATAATCTCGCGTGAGTACAATTGTTGAGGTAGTTGTCAGAAACCTCGTTACAAGTTTTGTATAGTTGACAAGCACTATACTGTAGGGCAGTAGAACATCATGAATTCACTCATATATTGCCTTGCTATATATTCCAGGAAGGATTCTGATGGTCAGCAGTTGTTTTTCAACCGCATACCATCTTAGCGCTTTATATAGATATATATAGGGAAGGTTATGTTTACAAATTTTTTGTTTACAAATTACACTATGTCTGATCGGTAATACACTCTTGAGTAGAATATTACGGTGAGACATAATATAGTTTGTAAGTTTGTAAAAAAAATAAAATTGTAAACTGATTCTTCACCTATCTATATATATATATATATATATATAAACAATACAAAAAGCTTTCTGGGAATATACTTCTACTCATACTTTTACAAAGTTTTCGTTTTCCCCGCAATTATTAACAACGACGTGCAAAAATTGGGGGAGGAAAGTCATTGAGATAGATGTTTTAACAAATTTAGTGGCTTCTTTTATGGGCTAAAATACAAATGCTATTATATATGATAATTGTGATACTAAAAACTTGAATTGCGTACATCCACATGTTAACATGTACAAAGATAAGAATCAGCTTCTAACAATGTATAGCACCGTCGTTTCCATGATCACAAATGAAAAAAAAAAAAACCCAAGAATTGAATTCTTTATTCAATAACTACGTGGCGTTGGTTTTCAATGACGAAGATAAATTGCTCATCATACCTTACATCACCTTCTCTTTTAGTTCCAAATGTCCTCAACTGGAACTCCTCTCTGATTCTAATTTCATCAAGAAGTTGATAATAGAATGAATATCTTTCCCAATCCCCCTTCACAATGCAGCCAGGTTCACCCAGATGCAAGCAATTGTTAAATGAACATTTTGCAGGCTCGTTGGCACTAAGCATCTTCCTGATCTGAATGAAGTGAGGGGGAAAAGATAACATCAATCTAAACAGGAAAAATTGAGTTAAAACTGAATTTAGTCAGATATAACATTAAGAGTGCTAACTTCAGGAAAAGTTTGTGCAAGAGATTGCTTCGTCACTTTCAATAAACTAGGCTGGTTAAATCCAGGGGTATCAGCAAGATAACCCCCTCCAGATAATGGAAGCAGAGAGACATGGCGAGTAGTATGCTTCCCTCTGCCGCTCCTTGTTGAAACCTCCCCAACTCGCTGATTTTCAAACCACTTGCTACCTAAAATCTGAGAAACAATATACGTACCCAAGTAGTACAAATATCAAACTCTCATACACAAAGTAGAAGATATCGAAAGACACAAACAACAAGGAAAAAAGAAACAAAAACCCACAGGTTCAAACCAATTTTCCCCTTCAGCAGCATCAGAGACACGAGAATTGCTCCTAAGGGCATTAATCAAACTAGACTTCCCAACTCCACTAGGACCCACAATCACTGTTGTTTGATCTCTCAACTTGAACGCAAGAAGATCAAGTCCATATCCAGATTCAACACTGCAAAGAATTGGCTCGTAGCCCCAACCACGTAGCCTAGCCTTCCAGGAACCTGCGGTCTAGACAATAGTCATGAAAGCAAGCAATCACTTCACAAGTTCACATCAAAAGATTATCACAGTCCAATTGCAACATAACAAACAAAAACTATAGTAATTTCAAAAAACCAAACACAACAATCAAAGGTTCAGCGAACAAGTTTCCAGTGTGCTTATTATCTAAGTAAGAAAAGCATCAAAGAAAATTCAATTAACTAACTCTGCCAATTTTTTTCTACCAAACACAAAAGGCTATAATAGTCTACGAAGCACCAATACTTCAAAAATCCTGACGTGTCGTGTCCGACACTCCAACGCGCGTTGTAGAAACTCAGAAAAAGTTCAAAGGTTACGTTGCGTTTTTAGTTCTAACTATTAGATTAGTTGGATTACTATTATCATTTTGTTAAATTTAATATAAATATTTATGATATCTTATGTATCTTTGCAAAATTAATACACTATTATAAGTTTAGCTTTATTTTTTTTAAAATTATTGAATATTAAATATAATATACGCAAAATTCGAAATCTAAGTCTCGGAGTGTTGTGTACTGTCAGGTGTCCCGTGTTGGTATTAATGCTAGGTATAATAATTAAGAACACATAATGGCATTCACAATGTAAAGTTGCAAACAGTGTGAACGAACCTCTTTATCCACAAGCTCCATCTTGTTGAGTGCTAGAGTGAGAGGGATCCCAGTGGATTCGGCTTCCACCAGAAACCGAGTTAGAATAAACGGCTCAACCTTGGGTTGTTCGAGCGAGAAGAGCACGAGCAAATGGTCCACGTTGGCAACCGGAGGGTCCAGTATCTCGCATTTTCGCTGGAACACATTCTCAATCATGCCCCTGCGATCCACCCAATCAATGGAACCTACTAGAACCTTGTCCCCAACCATCACCCTCCGTTTAATCTTCTTAAGCAGTGCCCTCACCACGCATAACAGCTCAACCTCGTGGAAGGTTCTAGAAGGTTCTTGTTGAGTGGGAGAGTGGACGATGACGCGCATGAAGTTGGCCTGAGAAGCGGCGACGACGCCGACGGCTTGGGATTCGGAGAGAGAAGGATTGTCTTCGAGGGAGAGAACGGGTGCGAGAGAGGAGAAGTTCTTCAGTGTGTGTTTCGCTTTCAGGAGGTTCTTGCTTGGGGCTTCTTGTTTGTGTTTGTTAGGGTTTTGGTGCCTGGCAGCGATTGGGACGCAACGGAAGCGCCGGAGAAGGAGAGGGGCGGCGGAAGCCACCGTGCGGTGGCGGAGGATGGAGAATGATGCAAGCGACATGTGTGTGAAGCAGAGAATGAGAGTATGATGAATTAAACGTTGTGTCAAAATTTTAAAGGTGATAAAAGTGAAGAGCTATTTCTGTTATACAACAAATTTAACTTTAGAGGTGAGGCTCCGTTTAAGTTCCATTTTCATGTAAACTGAAAGGGTGAGGCAGAGAGGAACGTCGTTTGCGTGGGCGAGGACAGTTTGTGGCTTTTTTTTATCCAAACGACGTTTTAAAAGCCATCGTCTATTACAAGGACGGGACAAATCTACCTAGGCGTTCTGGTTGCATCTTGATTTTTCACCGTGATTTGTCGTTTACACTAACTACTACATTCAGTCTCCTATTGCCACTGTGCCAGGTGTTATTGAAAGTTATTAATTTATTATTATTATCATCTACGTAATAATATTAATAATTTGAGCCTTTGAGGGAAATTATCCTTATAATTTATTTTTCTTATAACATTTTATTATTGTTGGAGTTATTGATTTAATTTTGATCCAATAATTATAAAAGTGATTGTAAGAATAAATAGGTTATAAAATATAAATATGTGGAAGGATATATTTATCACTAAAAAAATTTACAACATTTACAACTAACTTAATCACTATTGATTTCCGTCAATTTAATGAATATAATTTATTGAATTTATTGAGAATTAATAATTAATTAATAAATGCGACCTAATAATTTTCAATAAATTATAACCGTTAGATTGACGAAAATAAACGGTGATTAGGTTGATTGTAAAGATTATAAACTTTTTTGGAGGTAAGGATATCATGCCCCTTTAAATATAACATCTTTTATAACTTACTTAAAAAATTAATCAAAAGCTAAGGCTAAAAACTGAGAGTAAAAACATGTGTCTATTTGGATGTGAAACTAATGTGATAGCTAATAATTGTATCCATGTAACTAATAGAAGAGATAACTAGCAATGTAGAATTAAGTACCTCAAGCCAAGGTCCGATGAGAATATTGGCATGGCGTGTGTGTGTATTTTTTGAGGGATGAAGCGTACTATTAGAGTATTAGGTATAAAAGTGCAATGCAATGCAATGTGAGTGATTTGGTCCCTCACGGGTACTGTTGTAGCAAATATTATAAAATCGGACTGACCGGTCGGGTCAACTCGAAAATTGGTGAACCGATCATGTAACCGGTCTGTTTATCATATTGGACCGGCCATGTTATAGAATCGGTGTGACCCGATGCGATCCGGCCGGTTTTCGTAAAAATCGGTGACCCGATCGGTTCAACTGGTGACCCGGCCCGGTCTATAAAAAAAACTAATTTATTTTCATAAATTAATTTTTTTTTTACTCTTAAACACAAATGGTTTGTTTTCTTTTGAAATATTTGAGTGATTTGTAACTTATTAACTTACATAGATTATGTACCTACAACACTAATATTATCTTGATTATGTAATATGCAGAGAATTTTGATTTGATTTATAGTTAGAGATGTCGTTTACTGAACCTGAAACACTAGTATCACAAATATTATATATTTGATTGATCTTTTGTTAAATAATGATGTATAATTTATTATTTTCATATTAAACTATTAAAAATTAAAATATTTCTTTTTACAAATATTTAAGTATATATACTACAACCAATAATCGGGTCGGATTTAATAATATTGGTTGTAGTATATATAGCCCCTGGAGATAGTTATCGTGGATGAGAACGACCCTGGAGCGATTATCTTGCTGGTGGTGATCATGGGCACTGGACTAGGGGTAGGATCATGGGAGTAGACCCATGTTTTGGGTAGATGGGCTCAGGTGTTGCCATGGGAAAGCCCAAGCCGACAATAAGCCTATTAAGCGGCCTCCAGGATAATCCTCGGAATAGTGTCCAAATTTAAGTTAACGGTGAATATGAATTTTCAACCAATATTTAATTCCTTTATATGAATTGTAATTTGTTACTATAATTGATAGGGGCCGGTTTGTTAATTAGTGTTAACAACTTGTATAAATAGGTCTTGAGGTGATAAAAAAAATGAAGATTGTTTTGAATAATAAGATTGTAGTCTATAAGACAGTGTGTTATAGAATTAGCTATTCCATCTCTTTAAGTTCCTGTAATTGGTGATGTAAGCATTCACAAGTTGATTTATTTTGAAATTGGTATAAAATGAAAATCTAAATCATATCAAATTCAATTAGGTTTTTTTACTTTTAATTTCTTTTAGTTAATTCAACTAATTTCGAGTTGATTTGCTTCAGATATACAATTAAAACAAAAACTCAAATAGTTATATTTTTATTTTAAGTTTTATCCTCACCCATTTTTATTTTTTCTATCTAATATATGGATACTAAAATGGTAAATCCATAGCAACACGTACCGATACTGACTATTGGCCCAAACCCCCTGACCTAACCAACTACATAATCAGTCAAGTAGTTGGGCTTCTTACTAGCCTTCTTCCTCTCTGATCAAGTGTGGCCCATCTTAATTATGTCTACAACATCAAACATCCAACTTTAAAAGCTCGGAAATAATGATCATAAGAAAATTAATTGAATGCAAGTTGTAGATTTAGATTTTGAGTTTGAAATTCACGAACAGGAAAATTTACCAAATGCAACTTGATTTGGAGTGAGTCCAATGTGAAATGCATTAATTATCTAAACCAATTTAATTAATTTGGTTTAAATTATCAAGTTCGTGAATCAATTCGTTTCACTTAAGGCACTTCAATCACTCTCCAGTTTTAGTGGACAAGGGTGCATGTGGTAAGAAAGACGTCAAGGTATCCAAGAATGATAGAAAAGTTGCAACATCCATTTCAAAAAAATGCAGTCACAAAAAGGAAAATTTTCTAGGCTAGCTAAGGAGTATACAAATTCAAGAATCCCATGGCAAATGACAAAGAAGCTACAGCACCAAAATTACTTCAACCAATGCCTATTCGATTCTAACAGCCATTACATTCTCGACTAAAGCAGGGTCAACACCAATTAAAATGATAACGCGTGATTTTTCTATCAATTATCTATTCCATAATCATTAAATATGTAGCAGTGACATTATGTATTTTTCGCATCACTAGTTTGCTTACGTGATTTTAGGACAACAATATATATATAAAGATAAAAGAACAATGAGGTAAAAGCAAGTAATGACATGTGTTACTGAGTATTTACTAATCATGTTAGATACATATTGTTTTCTGTTGTAGCCCATTTTATGTTGACTCATACTGTGTGGTTTTGAAAAAAATTAATATACTGTCGTCGTACCTACATCTCACCAATAGGAGTATAATATATCAGTTGACATGTTTTCTAAAAAGAAAAGAAAAATTAATATTATAACTATATATTCTCTGAAATACAGAATTTGTAATTTCATTTTGAATGGGAGTCGTACCCAATATTCAGTGCGACGGTAGTACCAAAGATGTTCTTGTGGTTTCAATTTGCTTCATTTGCTTTATGGGCCAATCATATATGTTTCCATCTGCTGAGGACCAAGGTGTTGGTGTGTTTGTTAAATAGCAATATAGCTCAAAATGTTATCGCTTTGTTAGCTGTGATGGGTGATAACAAAAGACCCATTTTTTCACTTGACAAATTGGCACACTCATACTCAGTGATTTCATAAAGTTCTAGATGCTCTATTTTCTCTCTCATTGAGACCTTTCTGCTAGGGTTTTGCATCGAGTGATTGTGAGGCAAATTGAGTAAACTACATAGAGAATCTTAACTCGGTGATTCAAAAAAAGTTATTCTACTGGTTGAGGCGAACATTTTGATAGGTGCATTTTCTAGAGATTTGCTCAAACGGAGGTGAAACTCTTTTGCATGGTTATGGCAGGACCTTTGTCGCATCTCTGATACTATGAGATAGCCTTTCCTTAAGAGAAAATGGGAGGTGCGCCATTGGACGTAAACAGGTGCAATATGTTTGCTTCTCTTCTCACGGATATTAAGATGATTGACTTAGAGGGTTATGGTGCCAAGTTTACTTGGAGAAGGCCTCGTTTTATGCATCTAGAGAAAATGCACAAGAGACTCAACCATGTGTGTCGTAATGCAAAGTGGAGAACCGCGTTCAAGGATGGTCATGTCAGGGTTCTTCCAAGGTTTAATAGTGATCACATCCCACTTTTCATAACGCTCTCTCCCTTTAAGGAATATTGAAAGGAATACCCTTTATTTTTCACTCTTTTTGGCAGGATCATTGCCTTTTCAGTCAATTCGTTAAGGATAATTAGAGTGTGCATGGTACAATTTTGGAGAATCTGAAGAGGCTTACCCCTTGCATAAAAGAGTGGAACAATAAGGTGTTTGGGAGTGTTAAGAACTGGAAGAACATTACTAAACAGATTACAAGGCATCCAGAAAGCCATCTCTGAAGACATTAAGGAGTACTTAGAAAAGGTGGAAAGGAAGATTAAATCTAAGTTTGAAGAAGTACTTGTCTCTTTGGTTTGAGAAAGCCAAAACGAAGTGGATAAACCAAGGTGATAGAAAAACTTAGTTACTATCACACGAAAACAGTCATCAGAATGAAACAAGGAAAAATTACTGAGCTAAATTATGCAAATGACAATTGGGTTAGAGATGAGGTAAGTTTGGAGAATATGATTATTAACTTGTTTAAAGAAGAAGTAGCCCAACGTAATTGGGAGAGCACACCGCGATGGTTAATAAAGAATAAGTCAGACAAGCTTTTTTCACCATGAAAGGCTCAAAAGTGCCTGGTGAAGATGGCTATACAACAACGTTCTTCCAAAAAAATGAGGAGTTGTTAGGGGATCAAATGTGAAATGTTTTTCGGTCCTATATTGAAAATTCATACTCTATTGAGGATATTAATGGTACTCTGATTACGTTAATTCCCAATATCCATAAACCCTTACATGTCTCTCAGCTCAGACCTATATCATTATGCAATATCCTCTACAAGGGTATGAGCAAAGTTAGAATAGTCAGACTAAATGAGGTGATGGAAACTCTGGTATCTGTTAATCAGTCCAATTTCATACCCAACAGCAATTTGCAGGATAACATCATTGTTGCCAAAGAGGTGATCCACATGGTGTCAAGGCTTAACGGTAAGAAAGGCGTCACGCCCATTAAAATTGATCTTGAAAAGGCATACAATAAGCTTAGTTGGTTTTTCATACATAAGGTTCTTTTTGAAATCCAGCTCCCCC